ACTATTATGATTAATTCTAACTTCATTTCCCTAAGCTTTATTTTATCTGAAAATATGCTTTGATGTACTAAGTTTTGTATGGTCATTTGAATAAAGAAATAATGATTCATAGTTATTGATTTTTTTAAGGTTTTAACTTAAATATGCTTCCACATGCAAAAGAATAAATTTAGACCCCTACCTCAGGCTGGATATAAAAATTAAATGGATCAAAGACCAAAACAGAAGAACTAAAAGCTATAAAGCTCTTAGATGGGAACATAGCTGAAAATCCTCATGACTTTGGATTAGATAACTGTTTTTTAGATACGACATCAAAAGCACATGCAATCAAAAAAAAACAGATAAACTGGATTTCATCAAAATTAAAAACTTTTGTGTATCAACAGACATTAGCAAGAAAGTGAAAAAACAGTATATAAAATGTGACAAAATATTTGCAAATAATATATCCAATAAGAGTCTAGTATCCAGAATAGATAAAGAACTCTTGCTGTTGCTGTTAGCTGCCATTGAGTTGGCCCCCGACACATGACAACCCTGTGCACAAAGGAATGAAAAGCTGCCAGGTCTTGTGCCATCCCCATGACTGCTTGTGGATCACACCATTGTGACCCACAGGGTTTTCAATGACTGATTTTCAGACGTATATCACCAGGGCTTTCTTCCTAGTCTCTCTTGGTCAGAAAGCTCCATTGAAACTTATTCAGCTTCATAGCAATATATAAGCCTCAACTGACAGATGGGTGTTAACTGCACATGAGGTGCATTGGTCAGGATTCAGACTAGAGTCTCCTGCATGGAAAGCAAGAATTTTACCACTGAACCACCAATGCCCCCAAGAACTCTTACAACTAAACAATAAAAAGGAAATCCAATTAATAATTGGAAAATGATCTGAACAGAATTTCTCCAAAGAACAAGTAAAAATGGCTAAAAAGTACATAAAAGGATGCTCAGCATCATTAGTCATTACAAAAATGAAAATAAAAACCACAATATGATACTACTTCACACCAATTAGGATGTCTATAATAAAAATTTTAAAAAAGGTTAATAACAAGTCCTGGTGAAGATAAATTTTAACCCTCATACATTGTTGGTGTGAAAGTAAAGTCATGCAGCCACTGTAAAAACGGTTTGAATTACTATTGTTGTTGTTGTTAGGTGCTGTCGAGTTGATTCCAGCCCAACAACTCCACTTCTATAGCCCTCCTGAGAGAAATGAAAACATATGTTCGTGCAAAAACTTGTACATGAATTTCATAGAGCATTATTCATAACATCTAAAAATGGGAACCAACCCAAATGTCACTCTGCTAATAATGATAAATAAAATGTGACATATCCATACAATAGAATATTATTCAGCCATAAAAAAGAATAAAGTACCGTCATACCCTATTACACAGGCAAAGCTTGAAAGCATTATTAAAATAAAGACCACATACTTTATGATTCCACTTATGTGAAATGTCCAGCACAGGCACATCCATACAGACAGAAAGTAGTGATTTCTAAGGGGTGAGTGGAGGGAGGAAGTGTGACTAACTGCTAATAGATATGGGGTGGTTTTCTGGCGGGGCAGATGAAAATGTTCTGGAATTAAATAGTGGTGATGGTTTCATCAAAGAGTGCATATACTAAAACCACGAAGTGTAGAGTTTAAAGTGGTGAACTTTATGTTATGTGAAGTAAATCTCAATTTAAAAAACATAAATATGCTTACCTATGCCAATTTAGCACATTTTCTACAGCTTTTTTCATGAAAAATCATTTACAGTAATTTTTTTCTTCCTCTATTTTAACCTAACCAAATTAGCACATTCCAAAAAAATACTATACTCTCTGAAGAGATTTTTTAAATTATGATTAAGTAGTCTTCAAATTGTTATGCATTTTAGATTATCATGCTTAACACCTGAAATCTTCACATTTCTATTAAGACTTACGACCTCCGTTACCTTCTTGATACCCTAACACCTTAGAGAAATAACTCCATTCATTTGTTCATAGTGTACCATAGCGTCATAGACCACGGGCTGCCTCAATCTTTTTAGTTCATGGATTTCTACAGGAACCAGGAAATACCATAGGGCATTTAACTGATGGAGGTAACAACTGCCTTCATCTTAAAAATACAGATACACTTGTGATCAACTGGGCCTTGAGGAAGTGAATACTATCCAGAATTCTCAATTACAAGGAAATATTAGAAGAAATGGGCATTTCATAATTTCAAGAATGTTGAGAAGCGTAAAAAAAAAGGTCACAACGTATATATGAATGAGGTACATGTGTTGTGGGAAAGGCACTTTAATTCATTTCAGGTAAAAGGTAAAAGCAGCTCTGCAACAACAAACTTTCGCCTGTAATAATTACTGTCAATTTAAAAATTTTTTATATAAGAACAAGGTAATGACTATTTTTAAATGGAGAAAATAACATGTAAAATAACTTCAGAAATTAAAAAGTTATGTTTTTGTATCATCAACTCATTAAGATTTTGCATATTATACCTAACATACACTTAGGGTATAGTAAAGCCTATACAACCTCATCATAATGAGCTAACTGAATTTCCCCCTCTGTTTCTTCAGGTAAATCAATGTATATTAAAAAAGAAAATCTCTCCCATTCTCTTATCAACCCTGATCCACCAAATCAGACCCTGGCTATTGCCAAAAGCCAAAGTTCCCCTAAAAATGACCTTCACAGTAATGTATGTAACACGAAGTCTAAGAAGCCACTGTTGCACTTTAAGACATTCCTGGAGGGCACAAAGTGTGAGGAAATAAACAAACAAACATGGAAACAGTTACTCCATTTCCACAACTGCAGAACTTTCATTTTTTCTGTCACAAGCTCAATTTTTGAAGCTCCAAATCCAACTCTCATACCTTCTACATCAAAGAAAAAACCTGAAGGAAACCTTGAGTTTATAAAGGATTCTGGTTCTCAAGTATTTAAAACATTCTACTCAGCTCAAGCTTGATCTTAATAGGAAAAGAAGGAAAAGAAGGGAGGTGTCCTTCACAAACTAGCTCACCAATAAACTGCAACTAGTTGCTGGCACACAAAATGAAATAAACTGGAGCTAATTACACAATAACTATGTTACGTGTTTCCTTGATCCACTTTAATATTAAATAATTTTAGGAAGGGCTAACTGAGGTCTTTGTGTGTTTCCTTCAAGAACCAATTTTCTTTCTTTGAAAAACAGTTTGGAATATTTCAAGAGCTGTTTCTGTTTTTTCTTTTTTGAAAAACGATTTTCAAACATTTCTTTTCATGAATCGTTTTTTCTTTATCTTCTAACAAAAGTTACCAAAAAGTGTTCTCATGTAGACTCTAAAATTTCTTTTTAATTCTTAATCAAGCTTTCTAGGCTTTGCTTTGAATATCAAATCATAATAAACCAAGTCCTTTATTTACCAGTAAAATTATGAATCATTAACTTCCATCTTAAAAAAACAAGAGTAGAGATGAGTCTTGGCAGAAACTTACTCTGTTAAATAGCTTTTGTTTGTAATTATTTTTATTTTCACATGCTTTAATGGCACATGAGATGGTCTGCATTAATTCACAGCTCCCTTTTTATTTCCACAGAACGCTTCCGTATACTGGAAGTGACAGTAACAGTATCAAATGCCAATATATAAACAGAAAATCTCTTTAATATAGTATTATGTATATGTATATATATTAAAAAAAAAAAAAACTGTCATCAAGTCGATTCCGACTCATAGCAACCCCATAGGACACAACAGAACTGCCCCGTAGGGGTTCCAAGGAGTGGCTGGGGGATTCGAACAGCCAACCTTTTGGTTAGCAGCCGAACTCTTAGCCATTGTTAATTAAACTATTTTACACTTTGCCTCAACTGTGGAAAAAGGATTGTTGCTTACATGGAAAAAATATGGGAACGAATGTCACATTTTAAAAAGAAATTATAGGAGGTAAATTCAAAATGTGAATGGATATTCAAATAATCCATTGTTAGGAAATACTTTATTCTTTTAAATAAGGCTGGGACACATTACCTTAAACAGCTAAGCTTTTAAAGAATAAATAACATTAAGATTTAGTTATTATTATGTAGAAACTTGGAACACTGAAGGAAAAGCATGACTAATTTGTACCACATATTGTTATTCTGACTATCATTCAAAAAGATATCTCTGTAAAGCTCTATTGTGCATGAAGCATGGCTAGAATAAAAAGTTTGAAAATTAAGTTACAGGTAAGGAAGCAAGAAAAATACTTTATAATTCCACTACATAAATAGGATAAGAATATTTTATATCTTGCTTAGCCATTAGCTGCTATTACCAAGGAAAATTAATATTCTATGCACCACTGTGACATGCCAAAACCAAATTTCAATGATTAATCTATCAAACAGACTTCAGTTGTACAAGTAAAACGTTCTAAAAAAATGAATACATATATAAACTGATTTATTTATTATTATTTATATTATTTATATTATTTTATTTATTAAAATACATATACATAGCAATCCCTGGAGCCCTGGTAGCACGAGTGGTTAAAAGCTTGCTAATCAAAAGGTCAGCAGTTTGAATCCATCAGCCACTCCTCGGAAATCCTGTGGGGCAATTCTACTCTGTCCTACAGAGTCGCTATGAGTCGGAATCGACTTGATGGCAACAGGTTTATAATAATCCCTATTATAAAAATGCTGCACTAGAAAGGAAAATTGTTTATACCATTCTTCTAATAAGGTCCCAATGAGTAATTATATACATGTGGCACAGCAAGTGTATAATACACATTTATTTCTGTCATCCTTACATCAACGTTAATGGGGTTTTACTACATATATATGTGCACAGATTCAAAAGTATACAAAAAGTAAAACTACGCACTTATTTTTCTAGTCGCGAGGACAAAATTATATATAACATTCATGGGAAAATCAGAAAAAAGATAGACAATAAATGTTTTCAATAGAACACGCTAAAGTTAATCCTACTTACTGTCGAAGAGCCCAGTGCAGATTTTGGAGATCTAATTATTCCAGCAATTGAATGACGAAGAGACTCAAATTTGGACAGCTTCTCCTTTCTTTCCTGGAGGAATTAACAAACAAGTTTCAGCAATAGTAAACTACCCGGTATATACACAGTTATTCTGAATAATTAGGTATTTATCCATAGATTATCCATTATGCCTGCCAACTAGATAAAATGTAAACTTTGACATTAAGGATGACAAATAACCAAATGCATATAAACTCTATAGCATTTTAGTTTTCTAAACACTCAATAAATGCCTTGAATTGGGGAAAAGTAAGGAGGGAATAGAAATTCATGAGATGGGAGAAAGCAAGAAAAACAAGTATTAGAACACACAGAAACAAAGAAAAGACACAAGTTAAAGGAAACAATCTAACAGGGAAGACGTCAGATAGCACTACAGTTATGAGGGATTTTCAAGACAGAAAAAATTAATAAGGAAAAACAGGAAGAAAATTATATGGAACACATTTTTAAAAAGTGAATTCCCCTTAAGTACCTAGGAAGTTTCCCAAATATTCACATGATGATGATGATGATGGAGGGAGTAGCAAAAATAAGAAGGTAGTAGAAGAACTACCATTAAGAAAAGTCAATCCAGATTGCTGCTTGGTATAAGATTTATATTTCAAAATATCGTATGTAACAATAGAGAGAAATTTTTCCTTAAAATTTCTAATTTTAAATCCATGTTACAAATGCAAGTGAATGGGAGAAGAGGGAAGAAAAGAAGGGAAAGGAGAACAAAAATGAGAACTAGGTGGTAAGTAGGAAAACAAAGGCAAAGCATGTGTGAGTTTGAAATGCAAGCACTGGTCAAATTTTCCAATGACTGCATTTCAATGGTTAACAAGCAGCAGACAAAAGAACAAGAGCCCCTATTGTCAAGTGCATTATTTCCATACATCTTCCATCATTAGTGATCCTCAATCATAGCTTCAGTGGAAAACAACAAAAGCAGGCCACAAATAACATCCTTTCTTTCCTTTGCTTCCAATACCTAAAGTATGTCTGTGTACAAAGTAAATGTAGACATTCTTGACCACATGCTGCCTGATAAATATGGTAGTTTCTGAAATTTAACATTTGCCTCTCTACTTGCCTATCGCCACTTGATTTAGTTTTTATTATAGTAGTTGCCAGTGCTGATAGTTTTGATTATTCTACAAACATGCATATTAATAATTTACTATAATCTTAGAACAACCTGATAGATGATTTCAGCTTCTTTTTTTTTATTGTGCTTTAAGTGAAAATTTACAGCTCAAGTTAATTTCTCATTCAAAAATTTATACACATATTGGTTTGTGACATTGGTTGCGATCCCCACAATGTGACAGCACGCTCCCCTTTTCCACTTTAGGTTCCCTGTGTCCATTCATCCAGTTCCTGTCCCTTCCTGCCTTCTCGTCCTGCTTGTGGACAGGAGCTGCCCATTTGGTCTTATATTTTTTATTGAACTAAGAAACACATTCCTTACATGTGTTATTTTTTGTCTTAAAGGTCTCTCTCATCTTTGTCTGAAAAGTGGGCTTTGGGAAAGGTTTAAGTACTGGGTTAGCAGAGTGTCCAGGGGCCATAGTTTCGGGGGTTCCAGTCTCTGTCAGATCAGTAAGTCTGGTATTTTTTTGTGAATTTGAATTCTGTTCAAATAACATCTATGGGACCAACAACTGTATCTTAGACGGCCACTCACAGACTTTTAAGACCCCAGACACTATTCACCAAAGTGGGATGTAGAACATTTTCTTTATAAACTATGTTACGCCAACTGACCTAGATGTCCCCAGAAACTATGGACCCCAGGCCCCATTCACTCGGTCCCTCAAAGTGTTTGGATGTGTCCAGGAAACTTCTATGTTTTTGCTTTGGTCCAATTGTGCTGATTTCCCTATATTGTATGTTGTCCTTCCGTTACCAAAGTTGACACTCGTCTACTATCTAGTGAATGTTTTCCCTCCTCCTCACTCTCCATCCCTCCTAACCATCAAAGAATGCTTTTTTCTGTGTGTAAAACTTTTTTTGAGTTCTTATAGTGGTGGTTTCATATAGTACTTATCCTTTTGTGACTGACTTATTTCACTCAGCATAATGCCATCCAAATTCATCCATGTTGTGAGATGTTTCATGGGTTCATCATTGTTCTTCCTTGTTGCATAGTATTCCATTGTGTATATGTACCATAATTTGTTTATCCATTCATGTCGATTGACATTTAGGTTGTTTGCATCTTTTTGCTATTGTGAATAGTGTGGCAATGAACGTAGGTGTGCATATGTCTATTCATATGATGGAAAAAGAAATCACCAAATCAATACCATTTACACTAGCCCCCAAGAAGATAACTTAGGAATAAATCTAACCAGGGACATAGAAGACCTATACAAAGAAAACTACAAAACACTACTGAAAGAAACCAGAAAAGATTTACATAAGTGGAAAAACATACCACGCTCTTGGATAGGACAACGCAACAGTGTGAAAAATGTCAGTTCTACCCAAAGTGATCCACAGGTACAATGTAATCCTGATCCAAATTCCAACAGCATTTTTTAACGAGATGGAGAAACAAATCACCAACTTTATATGGAAAGGGAAAAGGCCCTGGATAAGTAAAGCATTACTAAAGAAGAAGAACAAAGTGGGAGGCCTCACACTACCTGATTTTAGAGCCTATTATACAGCCACAGCAGTCAAAACAGCCTGGTACTGTTACAACAACAGACACACAGACCGATGGAATAGAACTGAGAACCCAGATATAAATCCATCCATTTATTAGCAGTTGATATTTCACAAAGGGCTAAATCTGTTTAATGGGGAAAAGACAGTCTCTTTAACAAATGGTGCTGGCAAAACTGGATGCCCATCCGTAAAAAAAAGAAACAAGATCCATACCTCACACCATACACAAATTTTAACTCCAAATGGATCAAAGGCCTAAACAGAAAATCTGAAATGATAAAGATCATGGAAGAAAAAATAGGGACAATGCTAGGGGTCCTAATACATGGCATAAATAGTATACAAACTATAACTAACAATGCACAAATACCAGAAGAGAAACTAGGTAACTGGGAGCTCCTAAAAATCAAACACTTATGCTCATCAAAAGACTTCATCGAAAGAGTAAACAGAGAACCTACAGACAGGGAAAAAAAATTTGGCTATGGTAAATCTAAAAAAAGTCTAATCTCTAAAATCTACAGGAAAATCTAACACCTCTACAACAAAAAGACAAATAATCCAATTAAAAAATGGGCAAAGAATATGAGCAGACATTTCACCAAAGAAGACATTCAGGCGGCTAACAGACACATGAGAAAATGCCTGCGATCATTAGCCATTAGAGAAATGCAAATCAAAACTACATTGAGATACCATCTCACCGGACAATACTGACACTAATCCAAAAAACACAACATAACAAATGCTGGAGAGGTTGTTCGGAGATTGGAACTCCTATGCACTGCTGGTGGGACTGTAAAATGGTACAACCACTTTGGAAAACGATATGGCACTTCCTTAAAAAGCTTGAAATAGAAATACCATAGGATCCAGCAATCCTACTTCTAGGAATATACCCTAGAGAAATACGAGCCATCACATGAATAGACATATGCACACTTGTATTCATCAGCTTCTTCTTATCACCATCATCATCATCATCATCACTTACATGACTATCTTGCTTACGATCCTATGGGAATCACTATATATACCTCAATGATCATCTATAAAAACTGGGAAAAAATAAAGCCCTTCCTAAGATAGCAGATCAGGTAAATTATTACAACTGACAAAAATTAACACTTCAAAAGTATGCAAATATTTAATAAAATTTAATTTTAGAAAATAAATATTACTGTTCTACAAATGGGCATCACGTTAGGAATGTGAGCATGTATTCCAGAGCCTTAATTCTAGCTAAATGTAACTCCAGTTTTACTTTTCAGTAGAAATCACTATAACTGAAGGAATGACAGCTTTGAAGTACTAAAAGAGTATAGTGACCTTTCTTTAAAGCATGTCCATCATCAGCTCAGGTAATTTAAAAAACAAAAAGTAACACACTATTTCTGGTGCTTGAAAAGTCTTGCAAAATAAAAAAAAATTAGGAAGGTAAAAACTGATAAAAGGTACAGACAGGATATGGAGAATGGAACAGTGGGAAGTAAGGCATATACGGCAGTTGTTCTGTAATTACATTTATAAAGTAATGTATTATGATGGGGTAAATCACACATATCAGCCAGCACTATAGTAGCTACAGTTTTTCACTCCCAACCCAATTCACCCTTTTTTTATTCCTAAGGGGGACTTCTCTCTCCAGTCTGTGGAGGTGTCAGTGGTGTTGGTAGTAGCACTGATATTGCTATTGATGTTTTTACAGCTATTGCTGACAGACACTTGAGAGCAAAGTGCAGCCTCACCCATATGCCAATGAAAGCTTCACAAGAAAGCAGCAGGCGCTTCTACTGTGAATTCAGACTTCTCCTCTGAGTCAATGCTCTTAAAAAACTAGAGGGAGTCTGGTTCCAATGTTGGAGTATTATGAGGACAGAACTGAAAGCTACATGGAAGATTATATAGTAGAAAACCAGGGAGAGAGTTTTAAGTATTAGAAAGCATTACATTTGTATATGATAAAAATTTCCATTGAGATGGTAAAAGTAACTATCCTCAGTTTATATCTTAGTTATCAAACCCTAGAAAAGGAAACAGAACTATTTTCCCCAAAACCTATTTGTAATGTCTAAAGAGAAAATATTTTCTTAAGAGTGTAATACCAGCTAAGGCTAGCAGATAGGCCCATTTATGAGGTAAAGAAGATTTAAAAAACTGCTTCTCTAATATTACAGTTACGAATCATAATATATTGTGTGTTCAAACGGATAAAATTAGTGAAACCACACTTTTGTTTACAGATGCTCTTTTGATAGGTTGGTCTTAAAAATGTACTATGAAGAAATAATAAGCAGAGTTTAAGGAGCCCTGGTGGCAGCAGTGGTTAAGAGCTACAGGCTGCTAAGCAAAGGTCGGCAGTTCCAACC